TAACTGTCGTCGTAAGAGGTAGATATAAATAGCATGCCTTATCAATGCTGCTCCTTCATGGCTTAGTGGCTAACACCTTGCACTAACGACCATAATATAGATACGTATACAAATACGGTCTGTCTGCCAAGCCCCTGTAGCAAAGGGCAAAGGACGTGCCCATTCTGTAGCACCGTATAGGCCTCATCTGTCCTCCTAACCTCACTGAGCCCTATTATATCCCATTTAACACTCTCTAGCTCCTCGAATAGTACAGCTAGACTTCCCTCACTAGATAAGGTTCTAGCGTTAAACGTTGCCAAGTTCAGGTTCCAATGGCGGCCTGTCCGGATCCAGAGATTCTTAGCACCCTCTGCTGCGTTGCAGATCTCACCGCCGCCGTGGTCAGTTGCTTCCCAGCTGCTGGGGACTGAGGGCCGTGAGTTATTTGACGTAAGCATGTGGGAGGTAGTGGCCAGATACTGCACCAGGGTGGCCAATCCTTCTCTGGTGAGGGAGTGCGTTCTCGGCGGTGTTTGCCGGTGAGGCCGCACCCCAGGCCTCTTAATGCAGTTCCATCAACACGCGGATTTTATTTTTTTTTAATCCGGTTATAAACTGCGCGGTACCGGGATTTGAACCACGGACCTCTTGCATGCGAGGCGGATGCTCTAACCACTACGCCATCGCCGCACCTAGAGAACTGGGAGTGGGGTTCCTAATTCACAGAAACATAGCTGGCAACATAGAGGAATACTATAGCATTAATGAAAGGGTGGTAGGTATCGTATTTAAACTGAATAAAAGATACAAGATGAAGGTAGTACAGGCTTACGCGCCTAACCAGCCATGATGACGCTTCAGTTGAAAGCTTCTATGAAGACGTGGAATCGGCAATGAGTAAGGTAAAAACACAGTATACTATAGTGATGGGCGACTTTAATGCAAAAGTAGGGAAGAAGCAGGCTGGAGACCAGGCAGTAGGAGATTATGGCATCGGTACTAGAAACGCCAGAGGAGAGCTACTAGTAGAATTCGCAGAACGCAATAATTTACGGATTTTGAATACCTTCTACCGAAAACGAGAAAACCGCAAGTGGACATGGAGGAGCCCTAATGGCGAAAATAAGAACGAAATAGACTTTATAATGAGTGCACACCCTGGAATCGTGCAGGATGTGGAAGTGATTGGCAAGGTACGATGCAGTGACCATAGAATGCTACGGTCTCGAATTCGCCTAGACTTGAAGAAGGAACGACAGAAACTGATACGCAAGAAGCCAATCAATCAGCTGGCACTGAGAGGGAAAGTACAGGAATTCAGAGTGTCGCTGCAGAACAGGTACTCGGCTCTTAGTGAGGAAACCAACCTTAGCGTAGATATAATGAATGATAATCTGACGAGTATCATTATGGAGTGTGCAGTGGAAGTTGGAGGCAGGGTAGTAAGACAGGACCCTGGCAAGCTTTCCCAGGAAACGAAGAACCTAATTAAGAAGCGTCAAATCATGAAAGTGTCAAGTACAACAGACAAAATAGAACTGGCAGAGCTTTCGAAGTTGATTAATAGACGTAAGGTATGCGATGTAAGAAGGTATAACACGGAGAGAATTGAACACGCTCTGAAAAACGGAGGAAGTGTCAAAGCATTGAAGAGGAAGCTTGGGATAGGCAAAAGTCGGATGTATGCACTAAGGGACAAAGAAGGCAAAATAACTACCAATATGGATAGGATAGTTAAAATAGCGGAGGAGTTTTACAGAGATCTGTACAGTAGCCAAGACAACCACGACCTTAATACTATAAGAACTAGCAGTAACCCAGATTACACCCCACCAGTAATGATAGAAGAAGTCAGAAAAGCTTTGGAGAGCATGCAAAGAGGCAAAGCTGCTGGTGAGGATCAGGTAACATCAGATCTGCTGAAAGATGGAGGACAGATTGTGTTAGAAAAACTAGCCACCCTGTTTACGAGGTGTCTCCTGACGGGAAGAGTACCAGAGTCTTGGAAGAACGCTAACATCATCTTAATACATAAGAAAGGAGATGACAAGGACTTGAAGAATTACAGGCCGATCAGCTTGCTCTCTGTAGTATACAAGCTATTTACAAAGGTAATTGCTAACAGAGTAAAGAAAACATTAGAATTCAATCAACCAAAGGAACAAGCAGGATTTCGAACAGGCTACTCAACAATTGACCACATTCATACTATCAATCAGGTAATAGAGAAATGCTCAGAGTATAACCAACCACTATACATAGCCTTCATAGATTACGAGAAGGCGTTTGATTCAGTAGAAATATCAGCCGTCATGCAAACACTGCAGAATGAGGGCGTAGATGAAGTATATATAAACATTCTGGAAGAAATCTACAGGGGATCAACTGCTACCATAGTGCTTCATAAAGAAAGCAACAGAATACCAATCAAGAAGGGTGTAAGGCAGGGGGACACAATTTCCCCAATGCTATTTACCGCGTGCTTACAGGAGGTTTTCAGAAGCCTAGAATGGGAACAGTTAGGGATAAGAGTCAATGGAGAATACCTTAGTAACCTGCGCTTCGCCGATGACATTGCATTGCTGAGTAACTCAGGGGACGAATTGCAACTCATGATTACGGAGTTAGACAAGGAGAGCAGAAAGGTGGGTCTTAAAATTAATCTGCAGAAAACGAAAGTAATGTACAACATCCTCGGCAAGGAGCAGCGCTTCGAGATAGGTAATAGTGCACTTGAAGTTGTAAAAGACTATGTCTACTTAGGGCAGGTAATAACCGCAGAGCCGAACCACGAGATTGAAGTAACTAGAAGAATAAGAATGGGGTGGAGAACATTCGGCAAGCACTCTCAAATTATGACAGGGAGATTGCCACTATCCCTCAAGAGGAAGGTATATAATAGCTGTATCTTGCCGGTACTTAGTTACGGAGCAGAAACCTGGAGACTTACTAAGAGGGTTCAGCTTAAATTGAGGACGACGCAGCGAGCAATGGAAAGAAAAATGGTAGGTGTAACCTTAAAAGACAAGAAGAGAGCAGAGTGGATTAGGGGACAAACGGAGGTTAAGGATATCATAGTTGAAATAAAGAAGAGGAAATGAACATGGGCAGGACATGTAGCGCGTAGACAGGATAACCGCTGGTCATTAAGGGTAACTGGCTGGATTCCCAGAGAAGGGAAGCGGGTTAGGGGGAGACAGAAGATTAGGTGGGCAGATGAGATTAAGAAGTTTGCGGGTATAAATTGGCAGCAGCAAGCACAGGACCGGGTTAACTGGCGGAACATGGGAGAGGCCTTTGTCCTGCAGTGGACGTAGTCAGGCTGATGATGATGATGATGATGACAAATACGGTGAATGACACAGACGGCGATGCCGGCGGCATTATCCAGCAAAGCGTGCCCATATAATTGCTGTCGCAAATAAAAGTGGATGCATTGAGAACCCACTTCAAAGCAAGCAGAGCCTGGACATCGCAGCTAGTGAATAAGATGGCTTATTGATAGGTTTGGCGAGTAGTATATTTTGGATTCGAAGTCAATCGTGATTTAGGTAAATAAATTTCTAATCGAATTCAAATAGAGTATGTATATCACAAGTAAGAATAACCACTGGTCATGAAGAGTGGCCGACTGGATTCCAAGAGAAAGCAAACACGAGAGAGGGACAGAAAATTTGGTAGGCGGAAAAGATAAGTGATCATCACGAATGTGGCTGAGAAAGTTCTCAAAAAGATAAAGAAATAAAATTTCGGCAGCAACAAAGAGCGACTGTGTAAAAAGAATGTCACAGTTGTGCCGTATATGCAAAGTTGCACATAACATGAAAAAAGTGGCATACAGGCATGGTGTTCATGTGGTTTTTTTTCTTTTTTTTTTTTTTGCTCCAAAGAAGCTAGCCGGCCTTTGCCCAAGCGTTGGCGGGAACAGAAAACGGAAGAGCGGGTGCGGAAAAAAGCATGCCGAAACATTCGTGAAGTGTGCCACAGGAGTGGTGTACCAAATCCTTCTCCCGTGTGGATGTTCGTAGGTGGGCCACACAGGGCGCTGCATAAGTGATCGCCTGAGGGAGCATGCTGCCTCATTTAGGAAAAAAATGGGGGCGAACGTGCTCGCACATTGCAGCCCATGTTTGGGTTGTGAGCCTTATTTCAAAAATATAAAAATTCTAGGCAGCAGTAAGGAGAGAGTATGGCATGAGCGTTTAGAAGCTTTTTATATTAAGAAATTGGGAGACAAGGAGACAAATGTGTAAGCGACACGTCTGTTACTCTGTATAGCGCAGAAATCAGTTTTCTGTGCAGCTTTTTTTCATTGATGTGAGGTATTCTTGCCATGTGTTTTCTCCTCCTTTCCTCCAACCTTACTTCAAATTTTTTTGGGATGTGTGCTAAATGTGCCTATATTTACAGCGATCAAAGGAATAAAGACAGTTCATAGTTTGCACTCTTTCCATTTACCCTTCTTTCCGTCCTGTGTTCGTCCGATTGTGTGCGCAACGATACATACCATAGACATGCTCCAACTCGCCCAGCAAGAAGCTCTTCCTAAAGATAAAGAAGTTTGTGGCAATAACATCGCAGCAGAGAGCCCAGGACCAGGTTGATTGGTGGAACATGGGAGAGGCCCTTTCCCCACAGTGAACATGGTCAGGCTGATAATGATTATCTGACTCAAATTGGGACACTCAGCTTTACCTCATATCTACGAAAAAAAAAAGATATATTACTTTGCAATATTTTGCCGAATTTCTGAAAGCTAAGGTCTCAAATCATGGACATCATCACAACCCATTAAAAAATGTGGGTAGAAGAGACCACAGCATGGCAATGTTTTTAAGTGCAGCAAAAATTGCGCATTCTCTCCCCGCTTTTGTATTTGTTGCGACAAATATCCTATCTCTTATCAAGGCTGGAAAACCTTGGCTGCTCCAGCAAGGTTTCCAGTTATCGCCAGCAATCAGAAATTATGACATTAGGCCTCTGTCGCACCATCCGTTGACCAGTGGATCCCTATTCACCTGCATAAGTCGAGGTCCCTTCCGAGAGTTGCGGTGCCGACCGCTGGTGTGAGCGGGCACGTCCCACTGCGGCAGGAAGTCTTGAGGGTCCTCCTCGGCGAACTCGTCACCCAGGACACCATCGTCGTCATTTGGTGGGTACGCCGGGTAGACAGTCACCTCTGTCGACGTTGGGTCCCGCACTGTCACGGTGAACGTCGTCCCTGCGGGTATAGTGTCGATGGGCTCGCCATCGATTACGATGCCCTCGCCTCCTCCCTCCGCCGCAGAGGAGGTCTCGGCAGGCATGGTGACGTAGGTGATGGTCGGTGTCGTCATCGACCCAGTGGTGCTATCCACGTCTGACTGCTGGACGAGCGGTGGCTGCTGACTGAGTTGCAGGAGCGGAAGCGCTGCTTCCACTGCCTCCATGGCAGCCTTGAGGGCGACGGGGTCCTGCACATAAGGCGACGAGTTTCATTCCACATGTGGCCTCCCCCAAGCGGCTGACCACCATTGAGTCAAAATGAATTTGTGGACGTAAAGCAGCTAACAAATATGTACTACCAAAGGTGTGCAAACGAGGAGGCAGGGGAGGGGCGGCTGCCCCCCTGATCATCTAAAAGGGGGGGGTGCAATGTCAGCCCCACAGTGACATAACAGGGAGGGGTGGCACTGTGACCCGAGAGGAGGGTGCGCTGCGATGAACGTTCACTTGCCCTGTTGGGGAACCCTGCACATGTCTATGAGTACTACTATAATAGAAGAAGCACATCCTGAATACCTTGCCTAAGGCTAGTTGGGATTCACTGCAATGTAATTCTAAAAGAGAGCACGCCAGATAGGAAAAACACTAAACGTAAAAATAAAAACTATTTCACTAACATCCTCACACTTTTTAAAACTGTATGTACAGTTTTTAAGATGTATGTACAGAGCAAACACCAAAAGATAATGATCATGACGTGGACAAATCACATCCACCCAATTTTGCAGCCACAATGCAACGATGCAAATCCTTGTAAACTTTGCAGAGAGAAAGCCTTGCTAATTGTTAACAAATTTGCCCTCGCTCAGGATTTGAACCCCTGTCCAACGCCTTTCGAAGGCAGTCATTATATTACTAAATGTAACAAGGAGGTTATCACAGAACGTAGCATAAATGCAAGTTGTTTTGAACACCCCCCCCCCCCCCAAACACTAGTATCACAATTTCTTTTTTTTTATTTCGCAGACCTTCCTCTTCTTTAAACACTTCTGCAATGCTACGTCACCAGGAAGGAAAGGCGGGAAGGTCAACCAGGCGAAAGTCCGGTTTGCTATCCTACACCGGAAGAAGGGGATTGAGGAATGAAAAGATAGAGAGAGACAGAAGAGAACATAAAAAAAGAACACGTGACCTTAAACTAGACTGCTGCGTTCGATAGTAGTGGATGCAGGACTTCAGGAGTATCACGTTCCACTGTAGAACGTCGGTTCGTGATGCTTACTGAAGGCTTGCAAGCACTGGACGTAGAACGTCCACTCCCTGTTGTACGGCCTCGGTGTGTAGTGATTTCAGCCTGCCGATGAACATTTGAAGGGTGTCTTACAGTGATTGAAGAACTATTAAGATAGGTTTGTCTTGCTGCGACTTCAGCAAAGGAGGCAAAACTGCGTCACTTGTGTCCACGATGGTCTTGTTAGTAACGAACATCGCTGATCCATGTGGCTGTGGCTTTGGCAATGTAGGCCACATGGAATCCGCAAAAACTATGCTTTTCATTACATTCTGCTTCATACCAACCGAGTATAATTCGGGTAGAGAAGGAGATGGCGAGGCAGGGTGTCGTATGGGTGCTGTGGACGCAGAGGCATTAGATTTTTACGACGAACTTCGGTGCCAACGTCGCAAATTTCTGACAGCTGTGGCAGCCTCGCGATGGAATGAATGGTCTGTCGCCATCTGCCTCAATACAGCTATCCCTTTTTTGATTTTTGGGCAATCTTTCGAGGAAGCTTCGTGGGGTCCATTGCAATTTGAACACCTGAGAACTCTGACTTTACAACCGTCAGCAGAACAGATTTCAGCGCAGCGAGAACATACTCGCTTGCTTATGCATGCACTTCTCACGTGACCGAGCTTCATGCAGTTGAGACACTGCAGCGGCTCTGCCACAAACGGTATTACAGGGTGTCAGAAGTGGCTCCCCTTTACGTGCGAAGGAAGAGAGTTGCCTCTAAAATCTATTTTCCTGCAGGGTCAAGTACCCAAACGAGTAACCTTCACGATGCTACTAACTTTATTAGCTGGCTTGACCAGGCCACTCAAGTCAGAGCTGGGAATGGCAGCGTCAACGTCGTAAATTACACCAGTGACGACGTTAGAGCTCATCAATGTGTAAGAGCGGACGTCAATACCACAGACCTCTGTGACGTAGCGTACTACGTTCAGTGCTGCAGCATGCGAAACATCAATCGCCATGATATTGCCACGTTCCATTTCACAAATTTTTGTTATCGTTCCGAAACACCACACGATTCTCGGCGCAAACTGTGCCTGCAGGTTTCGAGAAGGTTCCGGACTGTAGTAGATCATTTCGATAAGATCACGCCCACTGTGTGAACGGTACAGATTGTTCTGGAACCTACGCCACCGCCAGCGATAACGCTAGAACATTCGACGGCAAGGGTATAAATGCCGACGCGCTTCGCCGCTTGTCAGTTGTTGATCGAAGGCCGACGCTGCGTTCGCCGCTATCAGTCCGAGACTGCTATCTGTGCAAGACTGCTGCTGTAATTAGGCTTTCCCTTTACCGGGCACAGGTTCGCCCAAATAAACAGTTAAAATCCCAAAATAAAGTCTCCTGTCTTCGGCCACGTCAAGACCCCGTGACATCTGGTGGAGGTGCTGCTTCGTTCATGTACCGGACGCCCCCGTCAAGCCGTGAACCCAGCCCCCTTCGCGGAGAAGACACCGACGCCAACCAAGAGCAGCGAACGAGCCGCCGACAGCAAGGCCTTCCACCGGAGTACGGCCTGCTACAAGACAAAGCGCGGAAGACCAAGACCATGACCTCGACTGCAGCGACAATGACAACCGGAGCGTCCCAGCCCGCGATCGTCATTCATCAACCCAGGGAACCACCAAAGTTCCATGGCTCATCGTTTGAAGACCCGGAAACCTGGCTAGAAACATACGACCGTGTGGCCGCCCCCAACCACTAGGACAACGAAGAAAAGCTCCGTCGTGTGTACTTCTACCTGGAAGACACCGCAAGGACCTGGCTAGAGAATCGGGAGTCCACGCTCCGAACGTGGGATGTCTTCTGCGGCGCATTTCTTCAAACGTTCGCAAGCGTCGCTCGCAAAGAGAGGGCCGCTGCTCTGCTCGAGACCCGGGTTCAGCTACCAAATGAAAAGGTTGGAATTTTCACAGAGGAGATGACCCGCCTATTCCGTCACGCTGACCCAGACATGCCTGAGGAAAAGAAAGTTCGTTTCCTCATGCGAGGGGTCAAACAGGAGCTCTTCGCGGGACTAATGAGGAATCCACCGAACACTGTCCAAGAATTTGTATCCGAGGCGACCACCATCGAAAAAACGCTGGACATGCGCACCAGACAGTATAATCGTCGCCTGACTCCAGAATGCGCTGCTGCTCAAGCCAGTGACTCCGACGACCTGCGTGAAACGATCCGAGCGATTGTGCGGGAAGAGCTGCGCAAACTGTTGCCTTCGGCGCAGCCTCAAGTGGATTCGATCGCCGACATTGTGCGAGAAGAAGTCCGGCAATCGCTTCGAATTCCCGAAACACCGCCGCCCGAGCCAGAAACTATGAGCTACGCCGCTGCAGTGCGCAGTCTGCAGGAGATCGGCCACGTGACATCGCCGACTACCTGGCAGGAACTCAATGGACACCACGAAGTCCTTCCCGTTCGCCGTCGCCCAGCCGCCGCATGTCACCGCACCCCCGGCAGTACTCTGGCCCAACGCGGGGCCGGTCTCCTAGCCCGTATCCGGGAAACTAAGGGCAGCAACCGATGGAGGTGCGGTTGCTGTGCGACGAACTACCGAAGATCCTCCGACGACGACGCCGACGCGACGGAGCTTTTTGAACACAACCCCAACCAGGCAAAGCCCTGAAGGCAAAAGCTCACTTACCGAAGGTGGCCGGACGACGCAACATGGAAGCAGCGGAACAAGAAGACGCAGCCGTGACCCGACGCCACGCCCTAACTGTAATGCGAGACGGCGAACTAGCGACCTCAACGTTCTTATCGACGGCCACAGTGTGACTGCTCTCGTCGATACTGGAGCCGACTATTCTGTCATCAGTGGGTCGTTCGCCGCGAAGCTAAAGAAAGTTAGGACAGCTTGGAAAGGCCCTGAAATCCGCACAGCAGGAGGTCATCTCGTAACGCCTGCAGGAATCTGCACAGCGAGAGTCACCATTAACGGCCGTATTTATCCTACAGACTTCGTAGTCCTACAGCGTTGCTCGAGAGATGTCATCCTTGGCATGGACTTCTTATGCCTCCACGGTGCTGTCATCAACCTAAAAACAAGGTCGATAACGTTATCCACAGAAGAAGCACTACCGCCGCGCACGCCGTCAGGACATCATGCCTTGAATGTGCTGGAAGAACAAGTCACCATTCCGCCTCGCTCAAGCGTCATTATTTCAGTCGGCGCTCCTAAATCACCTGACTTAGAAGGCGTCGTTGAAGGCAGTCAGCATCTGTTGGTCACCCGAGATATTTGCGTCGCAAGAGGAATTGCAGAGCTGCGGGGAGGCAAAGCAACGGTTATGCTCACGAATTTCAGCAATGAGTACAAACATGTGAACAAAGGAACAACGGTCGCATACATCGAAGAAATTGTCGAAGCCACCAGTGCTTTCTCCCTCGCCGATTCTGCGGAACCTGCTCAGAGGAACCAAGCCCCTCCCATAGCTTTCGACGTCAATCCCAGACTTCCGAACGATAAGCAAGAACAGCTCAAGGCCCTGCTCCTGCAATACGAAGATTGCTTTTCGTCGTCATCGAAAATTCGGCAGACCCCAATCACGAAACATCGAATCATAACCGAAGAAAATGCCAGACCACTCCGTCAGAGTCCGTACAGGGTTTCGACGCGAGAACGTGAGGCATTGAAGAGACAAGTTGATGAAATGTTGCGAGATGACATTATCCAGCCGTCCAAGAGTCCGTGGGCATCCCCCGTGGTGTTAGTGAAGAAAAAGGATGGGACCCTACGTTTCTGCGTCGATTATCGCCGCCTGAACAAAATCACAAGAAAGGACGTGTATCCTCTCCCACGAATAGACGACGCCCTTGATCGGCTCCATAACGCCAAGTACTTCTCGTCAATGGACCTCAAGACTGGCTATTGGCAAATTGAAGTCGACGAAAGAGACCGAGAGAAGACGGCGTTTATAACACCGGACGGCCTCTTCGAGTTTAAGGTGATGCCCTTCGGTCTTTGCTCAGCGCCTGTAACTTTTCAACGCGTTATGGATACAGTACTGGCAGGATTGAAGTGGCAGACTTGCCTTGTGTACTTGGACGACGTCGTCGTGTTTTCCTCGAGTTTCGACGAGCATCTTCGGCGCCTTGAAGCTGTACTTCAAGCCATCAAGACGTCCGGACTCACACTGAAGCCAGAAAAGTGCAGATTTGCATATGAGGAGCTCTTGTTTCTGGGGCACGTTATCAGTAAGTCTGGAGTTCGTCCCGATCCACGGAAAACAGCCGCTATCGCCGACTTCCAGCCGCCCACTGACAAGAAAGCCGTGCGCCGATTTCTGGGCCTGTGTGCCTATTATAGGCGGTTCGCGAAAAATTTCGCCCGCATCGCCGATCCTCTCACTAACCTTACCAAGGCCGACGTGGAGTTTAAGTGGGAAACGCCGCAAGAACACGCTTTCCAGGAGCTTAAACATCGCCTCCAGACGCCTCCGTTACTTGCCCATTTCGACGAATTCGCCGAGACAGAAATACATACTGACGCAAGCAGCGTAGGTCTTGGCGCCGTTCTTGTGCAGAGGGCTGACGGACTTGAAAGGGTTATTAGTTACGCCAGCCGATCGCTATCCAAAGCAGAAGCAAATTATTCCACAACAGAAAAGGAGTGCCTCGCCATCATCTGGGCTACGTCGAAATTTCGCCCCTACCTCTATGGCAGGCCCTTCAAAGTTGTGAGCGACCACCACGCCTTGTGTTGGCTAGCCACCTTGAAGGACCCTTCAGGTCGCCTCGCACGATGGAGCCTGAGACTTCAAGAATATGACATTACTGTCATTTACAAGTCCGGCAAAAAACACTCCGACGCTGACTGTCTCTCTCGTGCGCCTGTCGACCAACCGCTACCCGACGACTCGGATGACGACTACTTCTTGGGAACGATAACTACCGACGACTTCGCTGAACGACAGCGGGCCGACCCGGAACTTAAAGCCCTAATAGAATACCTCGAAGGCAGGACCGCCGAAGTCCCGAAGGTATTCAAGTGCGCACTTGCATCGTTCTTTCTACGAAACGGTCTTCTACAAAAGAAAAACTTTTCACCGCTTTGAGCTAAGTACCTCCTTGTGGTGCCTTCAGCTCTGCGACCAGAACTCCTGCAGGCCCTGCACGACGATCCGACGGCAGGGCACCTCGGTGTTTCCCGCACGCTCGCGAGGATACAAGAAAGGTACTACTGGCCACGTCTTACCACCGACGTCACTCGTTATGTGAGGACATGCCGGGACTGTCAGCGACGCAAGACACCGCCGACAAGGCCAGCGGGACTTCTGCAGCCAATTGATCCACCTTGCCGACCTTTCCAACAGATTGGTATGGACCTACTGGGGCCGTTCCCGACGTCGGCTTTCGGAAACAAGTGGATCGTGGTAGCTACCGACTACCTCACCCGCTACGCCGAGACAAAAGCCCTGCCAAAAGGCAGTGCATCCGAGGTAGCTAAGTTCTTCGTCGAAAATGTCGTCCTGCGTCACGGCGCCCCGGAGGTCCTTATCACCGACAGAGGAACGGCATTCACTGCCGACTTAACTCAAGTGATCTTGGCATACAGCCAAACAAACCACCGCCGGACGACAGCGTACCACCCATAGACCAACGGCCTCACCGAGCGGCTTAACAAGACGATCGCCGACATGCTGTCAATGTACGTCGATATCGAACACAAGACGTGGGACACCATTCTTCCGTATGTGACCTTCGCATACAACACGGCGGTGCAGGAGACGACGCAGATATCTCCATACAAACTGGTCTACGGAAGGAGCCCGGCAACGACGCTCGATGCCATGTTACCCAACGTCACCGACGAAGAAAACCTCGATGTGAGCGAGTACCTTCAACGCGCCGAAGAAGCCCGACAACTTGCGCGTCTTCGTACCAATAATCAACAGACGACCGACAGCCACCGTTACAACCTTCGACGACGCTTCGTGGAATACCAGCCCGGTGAACGTGTTTGGGTGTGGACGCCGATACGCCAACGTGGACTAAGTGAAAAGCTTCTGCGACGCTACTTCGGACCGTACAAGGTGGTTCGACGTCTCGGCCCACTTGATTACGAGGTTGTCCCCGACGGCATCACGAACTCTCAACGACGCCGATCGCGACCTGAAGTCGTCCATGTCGCGCGCCTCAAGCCGTTTCATGCACGTTAACAAACTAAAACAGTGTTTTTTTTGTATTATTGTTGTATTGTAATTTATTCATTGTACTTTCTTGCATTATTATTGTACTTTCATCTTTAGTTAAAGCATCGGGACGATGCCTTTTTTCAGAGGGGGACAATGCCACGTTCCACTTCACAAGTTTTTGTTATCGTTCCGAAACACCACACGATTCTCGGCGCAAACCGTGCTTGCAGGTTTCGAGAAGGTTCCGGACTGTAGTAGATCATTTCGATAAGATCACGCCCACTGTGCGAACGGTACAGATTGTTCTGGAACCTACGCCACCGCCAGCGATAACGCTAGAACATTCGACGGCAAGGGTATAAATGCCGACGCGCTTCGCCGCTTGTCAGTTGTTGATCGAAGGCCGACGCTGCGTTCGCCGCTATCAGTCCGAGACTGCTATCTGTGCAAGACTGCTGCTGTAATTAGGCTTTCCCTTTACCGGGCACAGGTTCGCCCAAATAAACAGTTAAAATCCCAAAATAAAGTCTCCTGTCTTCGGCCACGTCAAGACCCCGTGACAATATTCTTACGCGGGTTCACTCTTATGACGATGATTTCATCTGGCACCAGTCCCTCGAGCCGCGCCATAACAGATTGCCTGTTGAGGCGCTAGGTCACAAAAGACAGAATAATTAAACAGGCACTAGCTTTGAATGTTACTGTTATAGTTGGGCCAAAATGACGCCATGTGGTTGTGCTGGGTACCTAAATGCCAAGGGTCGTACTATGCTACAAATAATGTATACAGCCTAAGCCTGGTTTATGTCTCACTGTCCAGTGTTTTGTCTTCCTTTGTGATGTTCTGCGATCCGCCAAACCACTGCAACTCATACAAGAATGTCGACACTGGCAAATGCTTGGTAAGTGAATACTTGCCAATGTGAATGTGCATTCACGTTCACCCACCAATGTGATTTCCAAAACGAATTTTCGGTGACTGAACATTCAATTCGCCCGGCCCCTCCTCTACTTTTTCTATTGCAGCCAGATGCACTCAATCCAGCCGTTCACCACCCTCTTCTCTCGCCCAATGCTCAAGCTTTGCGTGTGCTTAGCGGTCATGGGGGAGAAAGGCCATTATGTGGTGCCTCACGACAAAAATCATATGAAATAACTTTTTGTTCAGTTATGCACAGATCTGTGGGACAGCGTCTTGCATTCCTCGTGTTCACAATGTTGGTGGTCACGCTGGCTCTATAAGAGATATGGTGTTTGAGATAGCATGTTGCCGTTCGTGGCGCTATGTGGGCAACCAATGGGGAAATTTCACTACAACACTGCTGCATGTGCTGACTTTTAAGAGCGCTGCGAGGTGGAGGCGACATGACTTCATGTGAAAAAAAAAAAAAGGAGCACAAAGGAACAAATATGACAGGCATATGATACTAGAGAGGGAAACACGTCCGTCGCATCTCCAAGAGAAAGTGCTCGGATGCACGTGTGATACGAGCAGCCGATACGTGTGATACGATCAGGTGGTGTCGCATCATGACCACTCCCTAAATTAAGGTAGACCGACAGCTCTCGTTGAGGAGCGCATTTGCACTGGCTTTGAAAGAAATAAAGGAGGCGTCGATTCATCAATGTGGACACTAGTGAATGCTCTTTGCTGCATCAAGTGATAAAGCAATGACAGGCTACCTGTCTGTACTTTCAACCAGTCGCTTCACCAGTACCAGCCTGAGCAATGTGAGAATTGGGAATTATCTACTTGGATTGAACTGGGTTACTGGTTCGCTTCACTGAATGATCGACTTAAAAGCGACAGCTTGCTGATATGTGCTTCACGTCACGGCCGAAATGAAGTGTTGACTAACCTCACCGTCGACAACATTCATCACGAGACGATTCTGGTTCTCAGGGTCAAACTTGAAGCTTGTGAACCTCGGTGTTGTGGGAGATGTCTGGTGAAACATAGAAACACAAGAAAACGTTTGTGAAAAAAATTGCTCCCGCTTATTTGACAACGCAACTCAGACATCAATTTCGTTACGCTCTTGAGCATATTTGTCATGAAGTCGCATCTTAGATAAAATGCTGGCAGAGTGAGAACAACGGCCATTATGAGTTAATAGAGTTCGTTTAGTGTGAATTTCGTACAAAACATTGCTGCTGTTACTTTCCTCATTAAAAAATTGTGTGGTTTTTATATTTCTACGTTGCTTATGATGCCAAAGTTCAGTTTGATATTTGTTTTCTGATTTAGACATATGGAAACTGCACCAGTATTACGTTCCAAGTTACATTAGAATTATGGAAATACTGTGAAAAGCAGATATGGCGTACTTAATCAGTTAGACCAAGAATATGAGAAAGCGAATTTGTTAGTCACATTCAATTCAAACAAATTGGAGCCACCAACAACACATGCTACAGCACAACCAAATTGCATTTAAAGGGGCCCTTAAACGCTTTCTCAAGTAACTGCAAAATAGATTCACTAAAAGAACTCATTGCCTCGCAAATTCAACCCACAAACATTTTAAGAATCCATCCAGTACGAGCGGAATTACAAAGATTTCTTGCACGCTGCAATCGCATTCTCTCGTCTCGACAAAAGCGCTAGAAGCTAAGCAGGGGGGAATGGCATAGACAAAGAAAATACGTAACACACACATCGTGATGGTGTGAACTTTATTTTTTTTCTCTTCGAATACGCCCCTTCTTTAGGTGACCGCGTGCGCATGCGTGGACAAGCTGCAGCCTCCCACGGCGATCCCTGCAATGACCGAGCGCGCCTTGTTCAAATCAGCCAATGGCTTACAGGAGGCCTTCTAAGAGTGATCTTTGCATTTGTCCAGAGAAAGAAAGCAATTTTTGGCTGGCTTTAATCATTTAGTGCGAATTCCGGGCCACATGCTGTGGTTAATATTTAGCTCGCGTGTTCTCATGAGCCTCTAGCATCGGTCGGCAGCATTTTCTGACCACGCTCAAAAAGTGTTGCAGGGCCCCTTTAATATATGAGAGATCATATGCTTTCTCGTACGGTAAGCTGGATAACTAGTACTTGTGAATGAAGGATCTGTATCAGCTAGAATAATAATCATAGACGTTTTATAGTCCAGAACCATGATATGATTATGAGAGACGCTGTTGTGGAGGGCGAGGGCTCAAGGAATTTCATCCATCTGAGTTTTTTAACGTGAACTAAAATCCAAGCACATGGGTCTCAAGCTATTCACCTGCGTAATACAGCTTGGGGTTCGATCCTGTGATTTCCCATTTAAAAGTCAAGCACTGTAAACACTAGACCACCAGGGTGGGTTTATTGACTAGAATGCACCAGCCTACCTTCTCAGCCGGGTTGCTTAGACGCACCGTGGGGGCAGCATACATGTGGTCTTCGATATAATCAGGAAGACGAAGCTGGTCGTCTTCCACGGCTACCTGCTGCTGCTCCTTGATGGTTTCCTTTGAAAGAACACGTACGCAAACATTGTTCAGTTTGATGGGAACAAAGACCCTACAATATGTTACTAACAATTGCATGCAGAGTTCTACGTGTGTTAGAAACACACACTTGACAGGAAACAACTTCACAGGAAGCACAGCACGGTCACAACATACTGTGGGGAAGCGACGGTCACAGAGCCGGCAGTAAACTGTCTCAAGGTACCTACCGCAAGCACACGATCGTGACAATAATGAATAATTATGACCAGTCTTTTTGTAATGGGTGCGAAGCTTTGACGGGTCAATAAACAGGCTCTGAGTTTTTTTTTTTTTTTTCACTCCTTCATATAAGCTCATTCGAACAGTACACCACGCCGACCATATTTTGTGAATACTGCAGTGCTGCGCTCCACACAAGCCCTCCGTTTCGAAAAACAATGCCTGGGCTTCTGTTCTTAGACTGACCAATCCTCCTTGCACACACAGTGACGAAATCTGGCCCACAGGCAATATTATGCACCCCTGAACTTGTGGATAGATCCTTTGCCCTGCGAAACAGCAGCATTGGCCTCGCGAAAATAAGTTTTGGCTGCAAGCCTGCACTTCTATTTTCCTGTGCTGCCCCCTGCCGTTAGCAGAGACCGAGACTACGAAAGCCTTCAAGATCAAGTGGCGTCTCACTACTTTACTACTAGCATAAGGGTGTTCCTCCCATCGTGCTTCTTCCCCGCGCCGCCATGACACGTGCTCACATAAACGAAGCCCTGATCGATCGTTGGCTGCGCATTGATGACGCATTGCTGACATAGTGTTACGTTGAGGAAGTGGGCACAGTTGCAACAAAGGGCTATGTTAACTCCTCTCTGCTGGGAGAAAAAAAGTGGCATGGACAAGTGAGAAACGGAAACCAGCCAAAGCGAGTCAACCTAAGCCCTGTGCCTTCCGTATAACAGCACTTATTCAGAAATTTCTTGCGGCAGCACGCTTACATAGTAAGTACAAGTGCACAGTTGTTTCTCCCTTATAAAATTTGTACGACGGTGTTGTCTACTGGCCCTTTAAAAGGCCCACACATCATGCAACTCATGTGGCACGACACCTGGTATGGTTGGACAGTTCTAACAAGTGATATTAGATCTGTCAACACAGTTTCCTCGCCTCATACAATACTTGTATAGAGTTTCTTTTTCTGAAAAATTCAAGCAAAGGACATGGCTGGGAGGTAAAGCTCTTGCTTGACATGCAGAAAGCCTGCAATCGAATCAGCCTTGACCCCCCCCCCCCCCTTTTTTTTTCCCGATGTGCGCGATAGCTGCAATGAAAAGTGGAGGTGGCGGACAACTATGACACCAAAATCGGCTGCTGTAGGCTCTAAGAGTTTACACTGTAAAAAGTTTAGAGAACTCATGCACTGCAGAAACTGGTTTATCCAATGTTTCATTTGTGTTCGCAAGAAGCTTGACTAATGAATAGAGACAGTTGAGAAGCAAGGCAGCTGGCAAATAAATAGTTACAGTGCCGAAAAAGTGTAATCGGAAAAGAGGAGGTGAGAGATGAAGTGCGTTACAGAAAGGATGCAACAGGTTATAAAGAAGATGTGACAAAGAAAAAAGTAACGAAAAAAATGTAACAAGAACAATTATTAGGCGATTGTTTTTTATGTATTGCTACCCTCCACCACAAAGGAAAGTAAGCAGACTTCAGGCTCTGACACTCAGGCTTCTTCAGGTCGGGGCATACCCTAACCCCACGCTATTGAACAAAATTTGAGCCATTGAGCCAATCGGCTATTGAGCCAACTAATACATGTTCCTTCTGCGATGATATAGCTAACTTGGAACATATGCTCTGGTGGTGCCTCGCGTTACGCTGTTGGGAATTCATCATGCCATCCATATGAGAGGTTGCTATTACAAGCTCCGTTTCGCACAACAGTTATGGGCAGTCCAACAGGCTCATGACGCAGCAGAGAGAACTTGGTCTTTCTGTTTCGACCTGGGAGCAGCCCGCAACGTGCTAAAGCACGTTCTGAAGGACCAAATTAAGTTCATCCATCTATGTTTTTACTGTCTCCTTGCCATGCATTCTTTACGATCCATTCTATTCCTTCAACAAGCTTCACCTATTAGTCAGCACTTAAATGCAGTGTCCTCCTTTGTGAAAGGCTACACCACACATAGACAGAGAGGAAGGAAGAACACACAAGACATACATAGCACTGAACATAGCATCAGCACTGAGTGCTCTGTGTGTTCTTCCTTCCTTCCCATGAATGTGCACGGTAGCTTTTCATCCCCAACTAACCCGCCAAGCCATCCTCATGTGTGTGTTTTTTCTGCACTGAAACAATTTCAACAAGAATAGCCAACTCGCTTAAGGAATTGCACTCATGATCAAGTTCGGTGTGTATCTATTAAGGAGCACTCCCCCCCCCCCCCCCCCCCCGGTAATAACATGGGCCACTTTAACACCGCCGAATTGAGGCAAGACCAGACTAAGTGTACATGCCTCTTTTACAGGGGTACTTGGCGCAGGCATCGGTCTGGAGGTTGGCTTCAAGGGGCCAACAGCAGTCGTTGGCACAAAAGGGTGCGGCCGCCGCTGAACAGACGTCCGACACTTACTTGCGAAGCCAAAGAATCGCCGGTACTTTTCTGAAAGAAAGGGAAAAAAAGGAAGGTTTGACACATACGTAAATTACCACGTTCTCCAAAATATTGTTACGTCTACGAGAGGGGTTTATTCAGAGATGACGTAACGGTCGACTTGACGGTATACAGCAGTGAACGCATAGCCGGGAGCTCTTGCCACCAACCGAACCTCCTCTTCTTCTGCCACCACCATGTTCCCCGCTACACAGGTGCACATACCTAAATTACACATGTGGTAACATTTCCCTCCGCGCAGACGAAGCCCACTGGGCAAGTCAAACAGTCTCTTGAGGAATAAAGCGCTTCAAACAAGCAACATGGACAAGTTCAGTTTTTTGCAGACCGTCGGCCATTTGAATGGAGACGCACTATGCAGGTAAACTAGATCACTGATACAGTCTACAAGATAAGGCCCCACATAGTGCGCTAGCAGTTTCTCGCTCAAACCGCGTTTTCTAGTTGGTGTCCACAGCAACACTAGGTCGCCGCGATTGTACTTCACGTGTCGGCGTCGGCGGTCAAAATGTGCCTTCGAGCGGTCTTGCGAAGCAAGAGTGCGCAAATAAGCAAGGCGTCTAGCTTCTTCGGCCCGACAGATGATCTCGGATATGCAGGGATCATGGTGGTCCAAACACGGGACGATGGTATTCAGGGTATGACGAGGTGGTCGAGCATATAGAAAAAAGAAAGGACTGTAGCCGGTAGTTTTATGCTGAGCGGTGTTGAATGCATATGTGATAAAGGGTAGAATACTGTCCCAGTCCTTGTGATCTGATACAACATACATAGACAGCATGTTTGAGAGAGTTCTGTTCGTTTGTTCAATTAGACCGTTCGTTTGGGGATGATATGGCGTAGAGTGCCGAAACCTTGAAGCACAGACACGAAGCATCTCTTCCATCACGTCTGCTCTGAATTGTCGGCCACGGTCACTGATTACAATTTTGGGAGGTCCATGTCGAAGAATTACAAAACGTAGCATGAAGGAAGATACATCGGCTGCAGTTGCCAATGGTATGGCAGCTGTCTCGCAGTACCGTGTTAAATGGTCGGTGCAAACGACTATCCAGCGATTTCCATCAGAAGACCGGGGAAAGGGTTCAAGGAGGTTGATTGATTGATTTGTGGGGCTTAACGTCCCAAAACCACTATTTGATTATGAGAGACGCCGTAGTGGAGGGCACCGGAAATTTTGACCACCTGGGGTTCTTTAATGTGCACCCAAATCTGAGTACACGGGCCTACAACATTTCCGCCTCCATCGGAAATGCAGCCGCCACGGTCCAAGGAGGTCCATCCCGACTTGCTCGAATGGAGTTCTAGGGGGCGGCACCGGATGTAATCGCCCTAAAGGAGCACTTGTTGGGCGCTTATGACATTGGCACTCGTTACAGCTAGACACATATTGTTCCGTCGTCTGGCGCATTTTGGGCCAGTAGAATCTTTCTCGAAGACGGCAAAGAGTTTTCGCTGTGCCTAGATGACCGGATGTTGGGTCATCATGCATAGCCTGCAAGACCTGCAAGACATAAACGCGAAGACTCTTCAGAACCACCAGAAGATATCGTGAGCCGGTGTTGGTGTAGTTCTTTTTGTAAACTAGCCCGTCTCGGATGCAGAAGCGCGTAGGCGATGATTTTGGTTTGGTAGCAAGAAGCTGTTGTATAGTGCTGTCCCTTTGTTGCTCATCCTTAAAGGTCTTGTTATCGGGAAATGGTTGGTCGAGTGATGCAATGTAGGTATCGAAGGTGTCCGCGTCACATTCCGTTGTTGGAAGCGGTAGTCGCGAAAGACAGTCTGCGTCAGCGTGACGTCGGCCGCTTTTGTAGGAAACCGTAAAGTCATATTCTTATAGACGAAGTGCCCAGCGCGCCAGCCGACCAGATGGGTCACGCAGATTGACCAACCAGCACAGAGAATGATGGTCTGTCACGATGGCAAAGGGGCGTCTGTACAGGTAGGACGGGAAGCGCTGCACTGCAAAGACTACTGCAAGGCATTCTTGCTCTGTGACAGTGTAGTTACGCTCGGACTTGCTGAGCGAGCGACTTGCATACGCTACGACGTGTTTTTGATTATCCAAGCGTTGAACCAGGACAGCACCTACACCAATAATGCTGGCGTCTGTGTGAATCTCAGTCAGTGGGCGCCAGAGGATTGAAGTGTCGAAGAATCGGATGAGACGTCAAAAGAAACTTCAACTCCGAAAAAGCAGACTCGCATTCCGGGGTCCAGTCAAACTGCGCACCTTTCTAAAGGAGACACGTGAGCGGGTATGCGATATTGGCAAAGCCACGAATGAATCGGCGAAAGTATGAACAAAGCCCCAAAAAGCTGCACAGTTCTTTCACCGAGTTTGGTTGCTTAAACGCCTCCACTGCGGCCGTCTTGGCGGGATCCGGTCGTATGCCTTCTTTGTTTACTAAGTGTCCAAGGACGAGTGTTTGGCGCTCTCCAAAACGACATTTATTTGAATTGAGCACCAAGCGTGCTTTGCTTAGGCAGTCCAGTACGAGGCCAAGGCGTGTGCTGTGCTCACAAAAAGGTGCGCCCAAAAATTACAACGTCGTCCAAGTAACACATACACACTTCCCACTTCAATCCACGCAGAATGTTGTCCATAAATCACTCAAAAGTTGCGGGCGCGTTGCAGAGTCCAAACGGCATCACACTGATTTCCAATAGTCCATCTGTTGTAACAAATGCCGTTTTCTCCTTGTCTTCCTCGTGCATTGGAATCTGCCAGTAGCCTGAACTCAGATCCACAGATGAAAAGTAAGAGGCCGATAATAGACAGTCGATAGCATCATCAATCCGCGGGAGTGGGTATACGTTTTTTTTAGTAATGGCGTTGAGACGGCGGTAGTCAACACAAAATCGCCATGTCCCATCCTTCTTCTTCACTAGAATTACTAGAGCGGCCCACGGACTACATGATTCTTGAATTACATTTTGCTTGAGCATCTCACAAACCTGTTCATTGATCACTGCACGTTCCGAAGGCGATACACGATATGGTTTCTGTCGGAGAAGTCTGCGAGATGTGTCGATTCGGTGCTTTATACGAGAAGCAGGGAATGACGGTGAATCATGCTGAGCGAAATAAAAAATACCGGCATGTTTGCGCAGAATACTTGCCAGTTAATTACGTTCCTTGGTGCTGAGTGACTTATCAATCATAGCCACAATGGTGGTGTCCCTGGCGTACAGATTATCGCAACAGTCTTATCCGGGGAATCATTGCTTTCTGCAAGGGTGGCAAGCGAGAATACTTGGTGTTCACGAATCTCTGCAAGTTTCAGACCCTCCGGCAGCACTGTAGGTTCATTAGAGCAGTTAATCACCCATAAACCAGTATGCCCTTGCGCAACCGATAGCGTGCAGTAGGGCATTAAGACTGTCTTCTTTATGCAACTGAGATGCACGGGCTCCACAGTTGCGTGAAATGTTTTCTGGCTTGCAGGTGAACAGACAACAGGGACACATTTTGCAGACAACGGCGGCACAGTTGTGTCCACAGACACGCAAAGAGCACTTTCATGAGAGGACGAGTTTTCCATAAACGCAACTGGGATATCGTAATCAACTGTAAATTGTCCTGTGCGGCAATCGACAGTAGCACCACATAGCTTCAAGAAATCGAGTCCCAGAATGACGTCATGCGTAGTATGAGGGAGAACAGCAAACTCTACGACAAAGTTCTGGCACAGCCAAACTAACAGTCACAGTGCAGACACCAACAGGTTGTAACACCTCTCCGCTCACTCCACAAAACGTATCAGGACGGTCCCAACGAAACATAAACTTTCGTCCAAGAAGGCGGGTGAAAACTAAACTCATTACTAACACGGTTGCACCTGTGTCCACCAACGCCATTGTTGGTACACCATCGATAAGCACTCGAACCTTATTTCTAAACATGGAAGCTAACGGAGGTATATCTGTTGAAATCGAAGACTGTCCGGCGACCTCACCTCCAACGGCCGCGCCAGCTAGTTTTCCGTAGGAGGCGAGGAGTGGCGGCGCCGAAGAGACGGTGATCGGTTCGTGCGAGGGGCAGGTGGTGGTGTCACACTACGGTCAGAGGTCGGAGATTGGTTTCGTAGCGGTCCTGGGATCTCGTAAGACGCGCTTCCCGGGAATGTCGGTGCTCGGGTAACGCCAGAACGGGTAAATCTCGGTGATCGGTCGTACCTTGGTGGCTGTCGGTAGTTGCAATACCTGACAATGTGTCCTTCGAAGCCACAGTTGTAGCAGACTGGTAGAGGACGCTCGCCGAACCAATGCTGAGACCGCTCAGCTGTGAAGGGTCGGTGACGAGCTTGCTGAGCAGGGGCTGCCCACCTATAGGTGGCGGGGCCGTGACGAAGGCGTTGGCCTTATCGCTGGTCGGTCGCGAATGAGTCACGACGTGGCCGCGGATTTCCAGTTTTGCTGATGTCTGCCACACATACCGATAGTGGCAAAAGAGCTAATGGCGCCGCCGTGTAGTAGGGGCGATTGGTAGGTGAATGCGGAATGGTTTCGTCAACCCTACCACCTTGTCGCTGAAGCTCTTCATGCACCATTGCCCGAATAGTAGCGGCAAGGTCGATGGGCGGGCTCACGTCGATGCTGGCGACCGTTGTCACATTTGCCAGCCTACCAAATTTCGGGGCAATGCGACGAGTCTTCAATTTTTCAAACGTGCGGCAGTGATGTTGGACGTCGAAGGCAGAGGTGAGGTCATCCCTGCCTATCAGAAAATTGTAGACGTCTTCCGCTATGCCTTTCAAGAGGTGTCCGACCCTGTCTTCTTCAGACATCTGCGGGTTTATAATCTTGCAAAGCTTAAGAACGTCCTCTATATAAGCACTGCAGGTTTCTCCAGGAGTCTGGGCTCTCCCAGCAAGAGTCCACTCCGCGCTTTTCTTTTCTGAGTCGGAGTCACCAAAACACTTCTTCAGTTCTTGAGCAAAAAGTGCCTATGTTGTCAAGGACTCTTCGTGGTTTTCAACCCACATCAGGGCAGTGTCCATGAGAAACAGCGCGACGTTTTCCAGCTGATCGATAGAGTTCCAGTGGTTGTACCGGCTCACCCTTTTGTAGTGTGTTAGCCACGCGCCCACATCTTCTCCTGCCATTCCCACGAACGGGCAGGGTTCCATGTAGTGATGCCTAGATGTAGCCAGCGTAGACGTGCGCGAAGTCGAGGCGGTTGATTCCTGACCTTCGCTCTGGGCCATGACGACTGCTGTCGGCGGCAGACCGGCAAGACGACTGCTGTCGGCGGCAGACCGGCAAGACGACGGCAGACCGGCAAGACGACGGCTCCGGCGAACTCCAAACAGCTGTGGCTCCCTGGTACGTCGACGTGCCGTACCCAGCACCTCCACCACTCTGTCACGTCTACGAGAAGGGTTTATTCAGAGCTGATGTAACGGTCGACTCGACAGTATACAGCAGTGAACGTGCAGCTGCGAGCTCTTGCCACCAACCGAACGTCCTCTTCTTCTGCCACCACCATGTTCCCTGCTACACAGGTGCGCATACCTAAATTACACATATGGTAACAATATAATAAAATGAACAGATAAGGAAGCTAGAGAATGTAAGGAAATGTTATGTGTGTGCTCAATTTGTAGTAAAGCAATTACAATATTAATGAAAAAGAACTAAAGTGAATGAGAAATTAGCTTGCTGTGGGTATGGAGTATACTTTAGGATAATGTGAACTACATAATGTGCCTGATGATTTTTTGATTGAGCTACAGCAGCCAGGGTGATTCGTAAAGCATCGGGCTGTAGGATCAGGCCCTATTTACAGCAAGTTCATTTTTCCCTGACTTTAAGTGCTTTCTATTTATGTCTAATCACTGTAGTTCCCCTCTACATTCGTTACCATCATGGTCTGTTGGTTTCATGCTGTGCTGTTTATGCTGCAACGGACTGCACATGCACGCTGTCTGGTGCAGTTTTTGTTTGACAGACTGTTAAATGAAACGGATCCCCCCCCACTTCTCCCGCTTTTTTTTTTTATCCTTCTTTTTTGTCTTACTTTTGGATGTTATTCGCAGATAGCTTTTTTGCCTCAAGAAAGTCCTGTGGGATCCATGGGAAAATAAAAGTGCTGTTACGCACATAGTATAACTGCAGGTGTATATCGCATCCCATCGACCTCAAGAGCGACTGCACGGTTCTTTCTGCATAGCTTGATGGCAGCATTCAGAAATGAAAAAGGATGGCAATAATGATGCTCAAAATAAGCAGGGTTAGTGTCCAGTTCCCAGAACAGCCTAACATAAGACAGCTGCACAGGAGTGCTCATATATATTACTGGCGCATATTCTCATTCATTTCGTCACTGCACTCCGTTATACAGCTCTAATTGACGTGACAGTCAACCCTCACGCTGAACAGGTTTAAAAAATGGGCTCTACATCCAACTAGCCTATGGCTGTCAACTGTCCCTGCAAACCATTCAGCATGTGCCAAGCAATGCAAGCAAGTTCCCAAGAACTGCTTACGCTGGCTTCGACCAGGCAGCAGCTTTCTCGTGCTGGTCGCACCCTTGGACACGACCTGATCGCCATGCTTAAAGAGGGTGGGGACGGCATTCCACACAAGACTGTTGCGGTAGGTGCTGCTGAAGCTCTCTTTCGTGAAATGGGCCGAGCAGAGCCGGTAGTTGGCAAACAGTTTCTCGGCCGGCTTGTCTCGCAGGTCCAGCCGCCCGCAGTTGGCCACCCACTTTCGGCACCTGGATGCAGCCAGACAGGCCATATTGAAGGAACCGCCCAATAAAACCACCCACAAATGCCGATGAAAGAAAATCAAAATGCAATTAGGTCAGCAATTTTTCTACATTGGGCGCTTTAAGGTTCAAAGCCCTAGCCCCCTTTCATCCATTCTGGTCTGACTCTATAGAAATGAAAGCTCATGTAAAAAAAAGTCTACCTAGCGTGAAAGCCCTAGAGCAAGGGCCCCCTGGCGGTGAATGACAATCTAACAAAATTGGAGGAGGGGGGAGGAGGTTTGCTCGGTCACAGACCGAAATTCAAACTGGCGGTGGAAAAGCCTTTAAGGAGAATACGCACCTTTGCATCTAATAAAATGCTTTATTGAATGTGCATGCATTTACTGTTTTTACTGAGCTGGGGAGAATCCTCGTGCGAAACTTCTTGTGCAATGAGAAGTGGGGAATGACGTTCCCCAAGTGCTTTAACAATTTGTGACAGGTCAGAATGCAACCCTGAGGCACCATACTATAAATTTACTGAGACATCGTGCATTTATCTAAAAACTCTCAGCACTTGCGTTCCTAGGAACCGCTGCTGCAGGATTCTGTAGCGGGGAAGATGTTGAAGAAAAGATAGTGTGAGGGGAGGAAGAGGCATTGCTTGCTTGCTCACTGGCACATATATCACAGGAAAAGGGGCACATGCTCGGTACCCTACAGTTTTCACTTAGAGATGGCACATAGTACAATGAGAAAACGTGTCTATGAATCGACCATGAGAGGACCTGCTGAGCAGTGCATAATTGCGAACCACAGTAGTGTTGCATTGCTGGGAGGGGCCTGGAAATCTACCCCAAAACATTCATATACGGATCATCGAAAAATCTGACTATGCCCATAACAGGACGAAGGCTTCTCCCAAGTTACTCCTATTGACCTGGCCTCGAGCTTGCAGCGGCCACGCTATGCCCCCAAATCTCGTAATAATATCTGTAGTTTTACATGCAAAAGCCACCACATGATTATGAAGTGTGAAGGGCTCCAAAAATTATGACCATATGGTGCTCTAAATGCACACTAACATTGCAGTGCACATGGGCTTCTAACTTTTCACTTCCGTTGAAACATGACTGACGCAAGCGAGAATAGAATCAGTGATCTTTGAGCACCCGAGCACCTCAACCATTGTACTAATTTGTAAGTCACATTTTACTGTGTAACTTTCTGCCATCCTACTTATGCACTTACCTTCTCTTAAAATCACGAATTACTCTTGATGAACAGTAAAATACACAGACAGCTTTGATCGTTGCAAGCTCTGACACAAACTAATCTACTTCAGCACAAGGAAGGTCGCCTGGAGAGCTTGTGCAAGCTGCGTCCCCTATTGAGGAAACAAGCCTGATGGCTACAGACTTCTTCTTTTCCATCCGACGTATCACGCAGTGCTGGGAAATGGACACAAAGCACGAAAAAGATAGGACAGGTATTTTCCAGACTTCTTTATGTGCTCTGTCTCTCTTTTATTGCTGCTGTTGCATCGATTTCCTCAAAGAAACTAGCCTGAGTTTCTGTTTTAACTGCGTTAATCACTTGGCAATATTCTCGGGACACATTTTGTTAGCCAGGGAAGCACCGAATATCTTCCCATGACCAATCCCCATGTCTTCTGCTGTCGGTTACACAGTTACATTGAAAGATAGTTTAACAGCTTTGTTTAACAACATCGCAAGTGCGAGCCATTACTAAAAAAAATATTTTTGAGTCCAAACAGTGTACTAAGGTTACTGTGTAAGAAACAGCTAAGCCTGCCCTATTTAATCATAAGATCGACTTGTGTAACCTTTGATTCCTTATAAGTTAGCACTAGTGCTCCTATCAATAGTGATATCATTCCCGCCATAACAAAAAGTGATGCTGACCTCAGTGAAAAGGTGGAGTGGTTAGCAAGAGGACCACACTAGTGATGGTGTACCGTGAGTAACAGTTATGGAGATAAGGATTGTGAGCACATGCTGCTAGCATGCCAACCTCTAAGTGCTACTCGAATTTTGACTGTAGCAAACTAGACCAAATCATCAGTGCAAAAACATGGGCGACGAAAAAGGGGTCACACCATAAGCACTAGGTAACAGCTGATGATTAGTTAAAAAGAAACGAAAAATAAGTACGGGTACAAAAAACATTTTAAAGTGGTAGAGCAGTGGTAAAATTATGAACATCAACAACCCGTCTGTGTTCATGCGGTGAAAGAAGATACAAATGTGTGTCAGGCATTACGCTTGAGTACCTAAAAAAAAAAAAAGTTGTTTTTCAAGTGAGACTGCGGAAGGCTGGATGAGGCGTCAATTCTGCTTTCTTTATGGCATTGGCACAGCTGAATTTGATGATTCTTTACATGCACACTTGGTTCCTCAGACTGGACAGCAAGAAAAGCTGGACCGCAACACATGTACGGTTGACGTAGAGATCATTAAGGTAAGCCAGTTCAACCTTCTCACATCAATAAATGGCATGAAAGTTTCATCACACATGAAAGTGATTATGACATTTGCTGTGGTATAAAATTAAAGAATTTCTAATTTAAAAAACAACTTAGAAAATTAGGCATTTATTAACAGCCATAACCTGTGTATACTCAATAAAACACCAAAACCTCTCAGTGTGATTTCACTGAAATATAGTTACAGAAGCACGTATCGCAGTTTTAATAAATGCAGCGACATTGAATTAGCGCTGCATGGGCACATTTCTATCGCGTAATTAATTAACAGAAAATTAACCGCTCCTAAATAGTTTTTGATGAGATAGTATAGCATAAATTCATTACGAAATTCACTTGTAACAATACACTTATCACTCGGCCTACAACATCTTCAGACAGTTTGCGCATGCGCCCGTTGATTATGTTCATAGTATTATGGTTCCAGTTTCGCATCCCGGCGATACTGCGACTTCAACGACGAAAACATAGGTTCGATAAGATTTCCAATGATCAACAGGTTACGATGGTCACGCTTAACTTTTGCACTCATTCCAATTAAGGTGATCTGTTCCTTCAAGATCACGTCAAACTAATGCCTCGCTCCGATCGTCCGGAGTATTTTTAGCCGACCATATGCGAGACGCCAAAATATGAAGCGGTCGACGTACGCGCTGAAACACGAGGCGCAAAAACAAAACGCCCAATACATTCACGGCGGCAGCAGGTTTACGAGACAACTTCGCCTGAATGACAGGCCTTCATTTTTCACTGCGATGGCAAAGAGAAGAGAGGCCGCTCTTGATAAGATTAACGGCGAGACCCTGCGAATACATAGAAATCGCGTTGAGCGAGACTTTTTTGCTACGCAGGGAATACAACGCGTCCAAAAGATTAAAAAACAACAAAAAAACTCCAAGTCGACGGCAGGAAGCGGCCGAGCTCGCGTTTCCAAAGTCTCACGGCGCGCACAGCCGAGAGGAATGTCGCGCACGGGCGCCAAGAACACGCAACATCGAAAATGAAACCGTAAACGCCAGGCCTTGAAAAGGAGCAAAGTTAGGCTTAGCGAAGACAAAACCAGAACCGACTTGGGCAGCGCGATTTCGGTTTGCGGGTCGGGCGCGAAAAGTGCGCCAACACTGTTATGACGTAGTCGTATAGCGTAATTAGGTGGATCAAGCCCGCCGCTTACGCGATCGCGCACGGTGGAAGCAGGCGATCGTATACAATCGGCGTCTTACCTCTCTTCGTCTTTGGGGAATCGGAAAAAAGACACGCCGCTCGTGTTGTCCGAACTGTTTTGGCAAGCCGGCGCGCAGCAGCGGCTGACCGGCTGAGGATTGGCGCGCGGCGGACTGCCGTGTTTAGTCATGATCGTGGCCGCCGTTTTCACATGATAGGCGATGCTTTGAAGGGGGGCGCGGAGTTTGAGTCCAGTGCGCGCAAAGTCTGCCGAGGTGCCCTGCTGTCTCGATTTCGAAACGAGACCTGCGCACAGCTACGAAATGGCTAGACACTAGGTGGCGCTTGGCTCGGTGCACTGTCGATGATGATAGTGGTTGTTTTGGTTGCGTGTAAATATTCACTGAATTTTAAACCAACGCCTCCTCTAAGAAGATGCCTGCCGCATGAGAAAAAAAAGAACTGCTACATTTTTTTCTTTTTTATTTTGAAAATGTTTTTGGTCGCTAGCGTCACTTGTGGCGGACGGTGCAACAACGCAACACTTTGCATAGCCTCCAAAACAGTGGTGCACTGTTGCAGGTCTCGAACAACTCTCGACTGACGCGCCCCTATGAGTCGCCGTGATGATAGTGTCGGTCGCGAGTGCCACCGCGCGGAGCTTGTTTAAAACTGAAGGCAGGCCAACTCCGCTGAGAGACGATAGTTATAGCACGAGACCAAAACGACGACACAGAGACAAGAAGGACACGAAAGACACGAGCGCTCGTGTCTTTCGTGTCCTTCTTGTCTCTGTTTCGTCGTTTTGGTCTCGTGCTATAACTATCGTCATGTCATACTAACTAGCCCAAGCTGCCACACTTCCGCTGGGAGCGAGAGCATCTCAGGCATCTTTCTAGAGGAGGCGTTGATTAAACTCAGTACGACCAAAACAAAAAAAAGCTATATATTTACGTGAAGCTTTTATTACTTTATTCAATTGTTTCAACTAAGTAATAAAACAACGGTTATTACGTATGTTTTTAATCACAAGTTTTAGAGGCTTAACTTTTTTGCTACTTGAAAGAACCTATGAAGAAAAAAGTAACATACTACATAATGTTTTCAATGTAAACTAAGTAAAGTAGTCGCTTGGCACATACGTTGTGCAAAAACTGCCAGTAAATAAAAATTTTTTACGATGCTCAAATTTAGGGAAAAAATTTGTCTACGCAGGCCACCTTGACAACAGTTTCTGAAAGTGCTTGATAGGTGTCGTAAAAGTCGTGCTACTGCCGGTTTTGGCCGCTGTTTTTTTTTTTATCGTGTCTTTCAAATTTGGTGGCGGCAATGGTGAGTTCGTCGCTTTGCTTATTGAATGATTGGATAAACGTAAATTCAGTGTTCTGAGGGTACGGTTGCGTGAATAGATTTACTGACTTGATCCTAGCGGCGAGTTATTGTGTCGCCTTTCGCTGCGAAACGGTCTGAAGTTGTACGACTCAAACGACAAGCGTTTCCATACGCCTATCTTTCTAGTTTCTTGTGTTACGTACTCAAAACTTGTTGGTTTCGGCACGCTAGCACGTTGTGAACCTTCGGTGACATTCTCTCATAAAGTGTTCTTGGTTTTTAGGTAGACATGGCTCAGTTTTCAAACTGCACAGAACGTAGCACTTACTTTCCCGCCTAAAATGCTTACGGACAGAAGAAACTGCTGTTGGGTTTCGCGTCGTATTAGATACGTTACTTCTAGAAAACTCCGTTTGTCGAGACAGGGAATACTGGTATATTTACTGAAAAACTAAAGACATAAACAGGCGCAAAGTTTTCGATTGTGTGGCTCCCAAAGACATGTATCAAATCAACGTTACTAGGCATATATGTCGTCTGCTTACGAGATGTTTGCAGACGACGCAAATGTACCCCGACGCTCCTCAGTTGTACGGCGCTGCGTAACCAGGCCAAGCTGTCAGGAATAAAAATGTGGTGTTTTTTTTTTTTTAAACAGAAATGCTACTTCGACAATCATTAGGGTTTATTACCCAAGTTACTAACCTAAAACTGTATGCACGCTTCGAAACGGAACCAAGCGCGCGCTCACAAGGTCTGGGCATGCGCAGATGGCAGCGGCAGTGAAGTTCGTTTAGTTACCTATCTTTCGGAGAACCTTGCAGCTTTTGTTGTTTATTTCGTCCATACAGATTAAGTATCACCTTGCAGCTGTTGTTCTTTATTTTGTCTATACAGATTAAGTTATCGGGACACTTTTAAGTCCGTGCAGTGACGTATTAACAAGGGGGGGGGGGGGAGCGAATGCATCTAAGAGGGACAAAATAATAATATTAATAAAACCCCTGATGTGTGCAAGGTAGATTAGATTTTCAGTTTCGAGTCAAGTTAATGCCATATAAGGAAGCCAGTGTGAAATATTTTCGAAGTGTCGTGATCTTATTGAACGAAATGTTATCAGACCATCTTTTCAACAAGTGCGGAGGATGGGAAAATATTGTGTTAGAAAAAGTTAAAAATGCCGTGTTATACGACTGCGTAAGTTCGCGGCGGCAACATGTGCAACGTTTCTTCAGCATATGATGGAACTAGCGGCGTGGTCTGACACAACAACATTTCTGTAGTAATTACCTATTTACTTTTAGAAGTTTCGCTTTCACCACCAGTGCAATGACAGCGCAGCGATATCCGCTTTGCGGGCATAGAGTTGGGAATTCTTAAACTACGTGTATTTGCTCTTACAAAGACAAAATAATTGGTTTCACATGAATAGGCACTTTGCCCTTGTACTCAAACAAAAGCAACACCATAGACTCTTCCTACAGGAACACGCTTATAGGTTTCTGGGGGTGGCTGCTATGCAAAAAAATAATAAAATTGAATTATTGAAGTTAATCACTATATCCAAAAAGAAAAAAAAACTGTTTCGGCTGAAATGTATGCATAAACCAGACAACCAAACGTAACAGTTTTCGGAGAAGTTGTTTCGAGTCAGGCCAGAAATGCTAAGATCCTGAAACCGTGGTACATAGTACAGTGTACCATGTACCATGGTACAGAGGAAGAAAAGGTTCCTCCGTGTACCACGGCAACACTTCTAGTACGCTCTACCACGGCCCCCTGGATCGGGCGCGCGCGGTGGTGTTCCCCCGGCCGTCTCATTCAGACGGAAAAGGCCTAATTGCAAAAGGGGAGCGTGACAGCGCTGTTCGCCGCATGGCGGCGCGTGCCTACTACCCCTCCTTTCTTTTGCTGTCTATGCGGGATAGTTTGCGGTGCTTGAAGATGTCGCTTTATAGAAACCGTAGACCGCTGGTTAGCTGTGCACCGTATCTTTCCTCGCCCCCGAACTGCCTCAAATAAAACAAATAAAAGAATCGATGGTGGCTGGCGCTATGTTTTTTTTTTTCTTCATGTCCCAGCGGCTGTCTCGAAGATAGTGACCGAAGTGAACGCATCCGTAAGCCAGTTTTCAAAAAACTTTTGGTGCCCTCCTGTGCAGAACATGAGATTTAGAAAGTTCACAGGAGAGCGAACCCACCCGATGGATTTTTTGTTTTGTTTACCACTTCCAGAAGAGAAAAACGATTCAAAGGATAGCTCAGCTGCACCGTGGATGTTGGCGGAAATACCTTAGGGTACTGAGGCCTTCAATGCGCAAGCTTACCTGCTTTACTTGCAGACATTTTTTTGGCAATTAAGGGAAAGAAAGCCAAGGAAATCGGAGCTTTCTGGAAATGTACTTCTACGTGAAACAGTCTGGTTTGGCACGCGTCTCGTAACTCTGTGGAAAGTGATGGCTGAGCACAACCAGCGTCAATTTGCATATACACAGACGACGCTTAGCGTTTGAGGTACACGTAGAAGGCGTTTTTTTTTCATGCCTGGACACAAAAACACGCACAAAAACATGCAAAAAAGAACACACGCGCACACAGACAGACGAGCGCGCGCACATACACACTACATTCGCTTTCACTCACGAAAGAGTGCACACAGACACACATTCGCACATACACACACTGAAGAGCACACACACACACTGCGCGCGCACACTAGACCCCACACAAAAGCACGCACATACACATAGGCACTCATGCACGGAAGAACACACACATACAATCGCCTCCCCAATCGCTAGCACGAAGCCCTCACTTCTCGGCGGAGACCAACGCTTTACCGTAAGGAATGCCGAAGTGCAAACACCATGTTCATTGCATCTACCTCGAATTTTCGCTCACGGCCAACGCAGCTTTTCCGCTCACACACAAACGCCGACGAGATGGTTTCTGCGAAACAAGCTCTTTAACAATATCGGGCTTTAAAACAAGATTCACCTAAGCGTAAGAAAGCACTTTGGTGATGGGATGACCGATCCCTGGTGCCCTCTAATTCGTAGGCGACTAGCATCGCCCATCATTTGCGCGTTCATATTCGCCTACACGCGGCGTGCGCTTAGATTGAAATGTCAGCATTCGAAACACTGTCGTCGAACCGTGGTAACTTTGAAATGCCAAGCCTCGTGACCACAACAAAATTTCGCTGATCATCGTGCAGGTGAAAATGACTGTAGAATTACTAGCACTGCGGTTTAGTTTTCCAGCAATGTGATGCTGTGATGACAGAGCTATATATGCAGGGTCGACAACGAAAAAATGCATTCCTTTGAAGAGAACAAGGATGCCTAAATTGACTGCGCACCAATTCAGGCGGCGCTAAAAGAAAGAATGAAAAGCAGGGCAGACCACATAGTCAGTCAGCCTAATACATGTGTCATGGAGGTGAAATTTGCGAACAAGCTGCACCACACGAAGTCGCCTCACGCTGCTTGGCACTATCTCGATCATAGTGCTAGAGAGAACAACACTCACTCTTTCAAACCTGATTAACAACACATATTAGCGTTCCTTTATTCATGTCACCATGTGAACGACGTCCAATGTGCACTGCTCCAAGCATGTCTACGGTGCGGCGCCGTCAGTGTCGTCTGCAGGATGGACGAATGGATGGATATGGCTGTACTCTTTAGATCGGGCGGTGGCTAGTGCCACCAAGCCGCAATACGTAATGAACCAAAAACAATATTTATTTTTTTCCTTAAATAGTGAGGTTAAAGATTCGTACCTTGCAGTGAAGGGTTTAATTTTCACTCGTGCCTTGACTTTAGCCCCCAATCAGATAACCTCCTTCTAGTTAATTCTACCCACTTAAAGTCTATTTTGCCGTCACTGTCCCGAAACCCCAGTGCTTTGACGATAGTTATAGCGCGAGAACAAAACGACGACGCAGAGACAAGAAGGACACGAAAGA